GCGGTGGCGGAGCCGGAGGCAGGGCTAAATGAGCGGCGCGGTATATATATATTGAAAACAGCCCCCGTGTATCGATCAACGAGGTACAAATCTTGCAGGAAACAGTCCCCGGGGAAAACCTCGCGTGTATTTACAGAACGGCTTTGACAGGGCCCCGAGGTAACCGCGGGGCGTCACCGAGGGAGCCTACGTCGCGGTGCTGCACGCGCCGCGACGGCGGCTGGGTTTTTGGTCTGGCCCAGCCGCTCTGGGCTGTTGAACTCGGGTCCGGGTCCGAACCCGGAGCAGATTCTGCTCTGTGCCCCCCAACACGTGAACAGTTCCCCTCCGCAAGCCTGTAGGCGCACGTGTACGCGTAGGACGCTGCGTGTGTAACGGAGGTGTACGTCTGCGTGCGCCTCGCCGTTCTCCCGTCCCCGGAGGGGCGTCCGCGGCCGACCTCGGGCGCTCTCGGCCACGCTCACCGCAGCAGAGATGGAGCCGAAGCCCCGCTGCGAGCCGCGTGGGCCGCAGCGAGCCGCTCGGGGGGTCCCAGGGAGCGCCCAGCACCCTCGCCTGAGGCGTTTGCTCGTGAAATAACTCGGAAAGGTTAAGCTCGATCGCTACAGAAGGCGACATGTGGGCAGTACCATGAGTAACCGCGCTCGAGGGACGAGATGTGCCGTGCCAGCGCTTCCCAGCACGGTTTCCCAGCGAGCGAGCGGGGAGGGCGCTGGGAGAACCCGCTCCGAATGCCAGCCCGCTTCGGTTTTACCGAGGCTTTGCTGCTCTTCGCTCCCCGGCGCTGGCGACCCGGCCGCCGGCGGCTGGCCCGTGGCTCACGAGGCAAAGATTTGCATGTATTTATTTATTTCACTTGATAGAAATGCGTCATTAATTAGGTGCGCGGATGCGCTCAGCATTGGGCTGGGTGGATGAAAATTACGACGCCTGGGGGGGGGAAACACGATGCCAAGGGCCGGGTGGCCGCAGCGCAGCGCTGCCCCGGCTCCCCCTTCCTCCTCCTCCTCCTCCTCCGGGGTTACGCGGGGCAGGGGCCGG